TATGCTGGAGTTAAGTTGAACTTTTTAGTGAAATTTTGTGGAAGGACTTCCCTTTTGCCTTCCCACCAGCCGTGGGCACCAATGTGCGTTTGCTGTGTATTTGTGGGCAGCTCCCCCATTTTGTAGGTTTCTGAGCTATGCAGCAGATGCTTGAGCTATAGCTACTTGTGTGTCTGCTTCTGAATTTGTCCTTCCCCCGGTCCCACCGGGCAGCTTGCAGACTCCCAGCTCTCGCTGGTCCTGCCATATTTCCTTCATGGCTCAAGTGAAGCTTCACCTCCTACTTCCTGTCCTATGAATCAGCTCTTAATTATTTTTCCTGAGTGCATGGATAAACAAACACATGAATAAATCAACAAGAAGCTAAACCATCAAGACCCAAGTGCAAACCCATCATGATAATAACTGGTATCCATGTGAAGCACTGCAGTTTATAGCAGGTATATAATTCGTCTTCAAAACAAAGTTATGGGGCATTGTTATCATCTCCATTTTACAGGTGAGGAATATTAAGGCTCAGAGAAGTTAAATGAGTTGCTGTGGTTATCCCCCTTGGCTGTTCTTCTTGAGAGAGGAGAGCTGTAGCTGAGATTCACAAATGGCAATATGGTGGAGACAATCTAGTTTCCGTTACCGCAGACTAGGGTTGGAAGGGAGGTGGATGGGATGAAGGAGGAGGTGGACTAAGGGAGCTTGAGATACTAGACTCCTTTAACTCCTAAGGGCGCTGGCCCAGGATATCTCAGGACACAGGGCAGGTCTTTGTATGGTAGGGTTTGAGAAGTCTTTCCAGGAACCCTCACCAAAATCTACTTTCTTGCATATACACAGTGCTTCCGTTTTCATAATCATTTATCTCCTGCTAATTAGGACAGTACTTCTTAAGCTTTTCTATTGAAGCTCTCCAATTATTGAGGCCATTTAGTTGTTGGGGATGACTGGAGTCCTCGCTGCTAAGACCAGGAACCCCAAATGTATGAGAACTCAAAAGAGGCTACCAGAGAATTGCTGGACTGAAAAGTCTTAGAGGCAGGCAACTGATTTGAAGGATCATGGCACCAAGTCATAGAGTTGTTTGGCATGGGTATTGCTGGTATATAGATCGTGTTTTTTTATTTTGGGGATGCTTGAGGCACTGACAGAGATTATGGCAGGTGCCAATGTCCCCTAAAGTTCTTCCCGACAATAGCAATACAGCTTACATGCAGTCCCTCTAGGCATCCCTGGAAAGAGATGGAAAATTACTCAATACATTTCTTTTTAATGTCGAGATATTTCTAAGATCCTCCTGTGACAGTACCCACACTTAACCATCCACTGGGTCAGGAGGGTATAGTGGTTAAGAGTTAGAATTTCAAGTACAACAAACTTAGGCCATGCCCCTTACTAGTATTCTACTAGGCATGCTGTGAAAGTTCGATGCATACTCACTGCATTATTATTATATATAAAGTGACAAAAAGCCACTGGATTTGGTTAACTCATATTAATTTGTATTTTAGAAATTACAACAGTACCTATAAACTCTTGAAAGATAGAAATATAAATATATGACTGGTGTTCTATATTCAGACCACACAATACTTTGTGTGCAGATTGATATGGACCTGTTGCAATAATGGCTCTGCATGGTCATTGGTCCTTAGAGCTGGTATCCTCTGATGTAGTGGAAAAGCTTGGATTTGGAATCCTACAGGCCTGTGTTCAAGTCCTGGTTCCACCACATGCTAAATGTGCCATCTTTGGCAAGTTGCTTAACTTCTCTGAGTCTCAGTTTTCTCATCTCTAAAATAAAGGATAATACCTGCCTTACTGGGCCATTGGAAAATTAAGTAACACAATGTCCATAGGAACCTGATATATGATGGGTGGCAAATGAATGTTCATTTGTTCTGTCACAATTTTGAGAGAAGTAGAGTAGTCCACATCAGTTTGAAAACAATATTTAAGTGGCAGAAACTGGGACACTAAGACCTACTTACCTAGAAGGACTCTTAGCCCCACTCTCTGAAAGCCGGAGAGAAATAAAGTATTCTTCCCATTCAATAGTGCTTTTAAAATCTTATTAACACTTTCATTTTACAGTAGCACATAGGAACAGCTTCAGCTTCCATCTATTCTCATTTACTTCATTTTTTTTTTTCTTTCTTGAGTTGGAGTCTCACTCTGTCGCCCAGACTGGAGTGCAGTGGCCGCTCCCGGCCACCGCAGCCTTGGCCTGCTGGGCTCCGGCGATCCTTCCAGGCATGCGCTACCACGCCCGACTGATTTTTTAATTTATTGTAGAGATGAGGTCTCGTCAAGTTGCCCAGGCGGGTCTTCAACCCACAGGCTCAGGCAATCCACTCACCTCAGCCTCCCAAAGGCGTGGGATTACAGGCTGAGCCACCGAGCCCGACTTACTTCATTTTTAATTTTCCTTAATTCCTTCTTCTTCTCTCTTAAGCTTTCTCATTGCACTTAACCTGGAAACCTCACGTAAGTAAGTGATACCACACACCCTGCAGTGGAACAGGCTACGGGCACAATATTAGTGTGATGTCACCACTGTTGCTGGTGAAGCCTGTGTATTTCTACGGCCTGTCTCAGGGTAGCTAGACCCCTGTAAAATCTCTTATTAAAAAGTCATCTTGACTACAGCATTGATGGTGGTAATGGAGCATGCCGTCCTTAAGTCCTTTCCCTGAGAGTCGAGGCAGGAATCATCCATTGGCTTAAAACATCTTCGCCCCTCTTTCCTGGATGGAAGCCTGGAGGGCATGCAAGACCTGTCTACTCTACAAACAGGGAGGTGGGCAGGACAGAAGTGAATGCTGGGAGCCAGGGCAGACATCAGCATGATGAGGGCACGTTCTCTTAGGAGTTGTGGCTTGTGGATTGCCAGGGAGCTAGAAAGTTGCCTGTGTCTTTGTCTTCCCATTCCCTCCTGAGTTCCTTCACACCTCTCTTCACTCGGTAGATGTGTGGGAGGATTGTACACAGTCTCAGAAACCTGCCACATTTAAGGAAGGATCCAGGCCAGACTTCTTTCTCTTCTTTGGGCAAGGTGCTTTACCTGTTTTAAAAATGTCCCTTCCACGAGGGCTGGGCATGGTGGCTCACATTTGTAACCTCAGTACTTTGGGAGGCTTAGGTGGGAGGATTTCTTGAGCCCAGGAGTTTAAGACAAGCCTGGGCAACATAGCAAGACCTCATCTCTACAAAAAATAAAGAAATTAGCCAGCCATGGTGGCGTGTATCTGTAGTCCCAGCTACTTGGGAGACTGAGGTGGAAGGATCACCTGAGCCAAGGAGGTTGAGACTGCAGTGAACCCTGACTGTGCTCCCGCATTCCAGCCTGGGTGACAGAGTGAGACTCTGACTCAAAAAAGAAGGAAAGAAAGAAAAAGATCTCTTCCATTTCCTGTTTCTGGGTCTACACAGTGTGCTTTGTCTCTTCCTTTCGACATAAGCAATGAAGAAAGACACTCTGTCTTTGAAAAAATTTCATCCCTGGTCAAATCCTTTTCCCCGTGTCCTTAGAAAGTATAGGCAATGAGTACCCATGTTGCTATTATCTGGCTTTGCATTGATATCCCAGAACAGGTAACAACTGTTCGTCAGAAGTGGAATTGGAGCCAGGAGCCATGTTCGTCTATCATGATCTTGTGACATGGTGGTATAAGATTATATGACATATTAATATAGGGAGCATGTGACTTTGGAATGGGGAACAAAGAGCAGGAGACTCAGCATTTTAAGCAAATAACCAATTCAGGAATGAAAGCTGCTAGTATTCCCTATTTATCTTCTTTAGGATAATTATCTTTTTTTTTTTTTAGATTTAAAAATATAGTTTATTTAAAGGTAAATTAGAGAAAGAGAAGGGAGAGAGAAGATTCACCTCCCCAAGGTATGGAGGAGGGTGCCAAAGCCAGGAAGCATGGAGACAGCCATAGCTCAAAGAGCACATGGCCACACCAGAGTCTAGCAAAGCAATGGCCCCCATCTGTTTCCTTATTCTCAACTTTAGAAGCTGTTTGCCTAGCACAATATTATATATCCATAAACAATTTATCTAATATATGCCTTGTGAACAACCTGGAGGTTCATTGGATTAATTAATTAATAATGGTTAATAAACCCTTTGAAATCCTTTTAATAAAGGGCCCACCTAAGTCCAAAGTACTATTAAAACCAGGCCTAATGAGGTCAATGGTTTAAAGAGAGGGTTTTAAGCCATATATAAAGCTCCTCTAATGATGGTTGATACGGGACAAAGGTAAGAAGAGGAAGGTGAGTCTACATGCGAATGTTTAAAATCTTCCTCCATGGAAATGGATCCACACTGAGGTCTACTACACAGTTGAAGTCAGATTTGAAACGCTCTACTGACTAACGGATTCTCCAGTTGTTAAACCTATGTTGTAGGACAGAGGCCTCTGCTTTGTAAAAGCTTAACGTGCAGTTTGCTGCTGAGTACGGAAGACCTTCTCAGACAGAGGAGATTTCCTCTGCGAGTTTGCAAACCAGGTTAGTTCCTGCCATTTTTGTATCTTAGAAAACTTATAAGCTAACTTTGGAATGAAACAAAAAATAGAGTTGACTGAGGAAGAAATGGAACACAGCAAACCTCTTCTAAGTCATGTTCTCTGACGCTCCTCTTGGTATTTTGCTTTGTTTTGTTTTCCCTATGGAGACTGTAGTATAAGAATGGGAATGAAATTATGGGGTCACCAAGCTTTAGATGGGATGGGAGTGTGTGTGAATAACACATGTAAGATGTGTAAGACCCATATCAATGTGAAATTAGATTGAAATGAGATGGGAGTTTATGTTTGGGAAAGAGAGTAACATGTACTGAGTCTGTGAGAATATCTTGGAAAGTGGGTTTTGAACTGGAAATAATGCTAAACCTTTTTTAAAAATCAAAGCAGTTTTTAAAAGAAACTTTAAAGTTTTAAAATTAACCAGTTTCTATTTCAAATCAGAACAGGTCCTGGAGAATAAGATTCCCCACGATGCTATCCTCTATTATATTTCGGGGACGTAGTGCCCTCATTGGTAAGTCACTGATTGACATTTAGCATTGTTACAGGATGTCCATGAAAACTTTCAGCACAGCCAAGAATCAGAAAAAGCAATGATTACATGTAATAGAAAAGTGGGCTTTCCTTCTATCCAACTGGCATTAATTAACTGTTATTTCTATAATTAAGAGTATTCTGCTTGACAAGCAGGGGAAGGCAATATCGGTAGGAATTTAAATAATCAAATACTCGTTGATCTGCTTACTTTTGGCCTGACAGTGCACCTATTAGGCTTGATATCTTATCAAGAAGTAGATGAAACAGTGCCTTGGGAGGCAAGACATATGAAGAGAAAATAATCAGTGTCAGGCAGTAGATAAGTGTTAACTGAGAATAGATAGAAAAGAAAACCCGAGTCTGAGAGGAGTTTAGAAGGAAGAGTTTACAGCCAGCTAGCATGTTCAGACTTGAAAGGCTTTTTGGGGAGACATGAAAGTTGAAAAATGCTTGGAGATTTAACAAGAGAAGGGAAGAGCCTGCTGGATGGGAGGAATGACTTCAATAAAGAAGCAGAAGCAGAAACACATGAAAAGTGTTGGACACACTAAGCAGTTTACGGTGCCCAGAACAGAAGAGGGAATTTCTGAAAGGAAGACTGGAAAGATAGGTTGGAGAGATGGCAAGGGACTATTAATAAGAAAATGTTGAAGCTTTGACCGAAGAAAAATGAAGAGCCATTGTAAGCAATGTTTCAGTTGTCTATATTTATAGAGTGATGACTGTAAAGAAAATATTTCTAAAATGTTCCATTTTAAACTTGGAAATGTGACGTTACTCAACAACAACATCCAGTTACTTATGGAATGAAGCATGGCAACAAAGTTTGAAATTTTTACTCCTTTTTGAATGGCCAGGTAAGAGCAGAGTTATATGAGTAGATTAATTATGAGCTACCATGCTAGCTGTGTATAGCTATAAGGTGACTCTAATTTAAAAAGGGCCCATGTGTTTATGATACCTACACAGGTGGTGTAGGGTCTATGGTCATATTCCAGTTCTTTTATTTTTTTATTTTTATTTTTATTTTTTTTAAAGTTGGAGTCTCACTCTGTCACCCAGACTGGAGTGCAGTGGCCGCTCCTGGCCACCGCAGCCTCGACCTGCTGGGCTTCGGCGATCCTTCCACCTCAGCCTTCCGAGTAGCCGGAATAC